CAATTACAGTCTGCAGGTGGCCTAATAGTTGTAGTCTAAGCCCCTAGAATTCAGCAGCACCAAGTACTGTCAATCAGTTGATCCGCGTTGTGTTGAATGTTGTTGATTTTGTCCTTAAGCGAGATACTTCAACCCTTATCTAATCACACATCGCAAACTGGCATCGATAAGAAGGATGCAGCGCAGAAAGGAGAGTAAGTTGGAAGATTTGGTAGGACCAGAGAAAAAACGAAGTAACAGTGGGGCATGGAGGAAGATAAATAAGCTGATACATTGTGTTTTCTATAGTCCATCATTTCTAAAGTCCTCTTTCCTCTCTTTCCTCCTTTCCTCCTGCCAATTGTTCATTTAGATATCCAGATTTAAAAACCTGAGCTGCAGCATCTATTGGAACAATATCCAGTTCCCTTTTTGTAAAGTGTGTTTACCCAAACACATGAACAGACTCACAAAATGCATATATATATATATATATATATATATATATATATATATATATATTATAGTTTTATCAAACAACAAATCTGTATATCATCTGATTCAATGTCTACATATTTTCATTACACCAGGGTAGATCTCTTGTATTCTTACAGTCAATCTTTCCTTTGCTTGTCAATTCTACAAGTACATTTTTTTTATTCCTTCAAAACAATTCATCGTCTAGCCTTCCCGGTTACTAGAAGTGAATCCACTGCTGCTTGCCAATCAGATATAAGAATTCTCGAAGGCCATTGTATGAGTGCAGACATGGGTTGGGTGAGTGAGATACGATGAGGAAGGGGAAAAAAAGACAACTGAAAGGTGGCAGGTAGGACTTAACTAAGTATTTAAGCTACCAATATTTTGGCCGATATGTTTGAATATTTAGTTTGAAATTTTTGGGATTTTTCATAGAAGACTGATCCTGGAGTGTGTAGGCAATCCTGCTAAGAAAGCCGAAAGTTTATGAACCTGTTCATCCATAAAATCATGGCTTTACATTATGTTCCCAGCAAACCACATTTTCTATTTCCATTTCACCGTCATTCAATCTCCATTATCGTCTCTTTATGGCTTTTCTTTTGGATGGGTAGGATGTACGAGTTCTGTGAGCAGAAAAATGCATTTAATTTTGATTAATGACTTTCATTATCTATTTTTATGTACATTGAAGTTATTGTTTTGTTGTCAGAGTAAGTGTTAATCATGTATTCGATCTGTTTCAATACGAGCACCATAAACTACACTATTGATTACCTTTCTCACATTTTATGATGGTGAATGAGATATCACCGGTAGATGTGACGAAGTACTGATACAGGTGTTGTAAATAGCCACAGATGTGCGCATGGGTCACTAGTAATGACAGCTCTTATGGCATCATTGTACAACCTTGTCGGTGCGACACAAGTGGGGAAATGACGCCGCTTCTCAGCCATTCTTTTCGCTGGGAGCTCTGACAGGTCTAATAAGTGGTAGAGCAGGCAGATGTATTGATATGGAAATGTGTGATTACGGGCATGTCTATGTTCATTTATCAAAAGCACTAATGAGGGTACAGTTAGGCACAGTCTCAAAAGTCTTTCAGCCTTTCTTCCTTAAGACCTATCAAGAGAGGTATGGTATAGTGCCCTATTTTTGCGGCGGTGTGCCAACCAGCACAAGCAGACCTCGATGTTGGCTTTGCCCGTTTCTGTGGTATTTTGGTGCCATAAGTGCGAGGTTCATTGAAATGAGGCAGCGCAAAACAAGTTGTCGGCGTTCCTGTTGAGAATGTGTTGCACCGAAGATGGACGTCTCAGAACCGCGTCTGTTTCTGGAGAAAAGTCAATCGGCTGCCACGTCACCAAACTTGGAGCGCAAGTATAACACGCGATGATGCTGACGATGTAAATCGGCTATTTTGTTTATTTTAACTAAACACCTTCCAACCAACAGATACATTTATATATCGGCATCAAAAAACAATGCTGTTATTGTGGTGCACATCGGTAAAGCGTGTGCTTCATACGATATGATACGCTTCTCTTTCAGGTCAATGAATCCATGCAGCCGTCTGAAGGCAGCAGGGCAGATCCGTCGAATCAATCTGCAGCCTCTGATTGGAGATCAGGCGGGCGCAGTGCCATTGTGCTCTGCCATCTTCTTTGTTTACCTTGGTTAAATCGCATGCAAATGACACCAGGCTGCTACAAAATAACCACACACACCTCTACGCACATGATACAGGTCTGATGACATGATGCTGTCATCAGCTAAACTAATCCCGTGCGTCACAGCCAACCGTACCAACTCTTCAAATAAGTTCAGCGGTTCAAGTGTTATTCTTGAAATTAATTTTGATGCAAATCCAAAGTCGCATTTAATAAAAAAAATGTAAACATCTGCAAGGGAAATACAGCAGAATTCAGACTGCATTAGCATCCAATTGATGCGATCATCGGCTTCACCAATTTATTATTCGTTAGAAAGCCACACCATCTGCCTCTAGCTGCGAGTGTATGACGCTTCGTCTTCACATTGTGCCGCTCTGCACCATCCAGACAACCACATGATTTCGCGGAGAAGCTGACTCTTCACTGTCGAGCTATTGTCGTCATGCGTACTACACCCCTCTGATCTATATTCACCCAAACCTCGTTGCGCCGCTGCACCTACGTGAACCAAAATAGCCGGTGCTCTTTGATACACCCACACTCCAGACCTGCCACTATCTGCACTTTTGATTAAAATGTGTATGCTCTTTTCTTTTTTTCATTTTACCTGATGTCTTTGTTCTGCTTCAGCGAGTGCAACGCTTTTCAGTCGTGGGCACTTCCAGCATTAGAGCTGGATGGTGTTTTTATCCGTCTAAATAAGTTCACACTGGAAGTCATCGCATTTCTATTATTAAAGTCAAAGTCACAATCCATGTTGTGGTTCAAAGTTGACTTTGGCATGTAGTACAACTATGCATGTTAGACGGTCACTGAGCAAGAAAACAAGCCATAGTTTAGATATCGTGGCATCACAAGGACCGCTACTAGACACTTGGCAGGTGTGTTCACTGTCTCTGAGAGGAACACTTTGTAATTAAACACCATACGTAGCTTTGTGATGTGGAAATACGGACAAATAGATTCAGATTCAACAGCCACTTTATGAGAAATACCGTGTATATATGTCACAGGCAGGACTCCTTTTGTACCTTGCACACCTTTTTACTTAATAATTCCTCACAGAGCCCAGTCCAACCCTACGTACTCAAACATCTCTCTCTCTCTGTCCTCCCGCCTTTTACCGTCATGCCTTCTGCTGCTTCTCTTTTATTTTTATTCTTCTCTTCCCTCCCTTTTAGCTTTTTCTTTATTTTCTTCCCCAGCCATCCTTCCATCCCCAGCTGGTACAGTTTGCTGGTTAAATATTTGAGATTGGGGTGGGTGGGTACTGGGTGCTGGAAGGCCTAAGCTAGGAGGATCAACAGCGGAAGGGCTGCAGTTGTTGTGGATTAGCTGCTTGTTTTATCATAATACCACTGCCTGCTTGCTTGGCGTTTGGGGCTCACCGGGCAAGCTGCAGAAGTCAGAAATCAAAAATGTATGAGTAATGCACCTCGTTACTGCCGAGCCTTAGCGTCGCTAGAAGGGGCTGGAGTCGCAAAGCTTTCCTGTGGATGAAATTACAACACAATGCTACTTTTCCTTCCTACTGTAAGTTTTGGTGTTTAAAAGAATGTCAGTGAATTCTGGCCCGCGGTGTCCTGTGTCTGACGGTAAAAAGTAATGTTCGGCTTTTTAAAGAGGGGGAGTTGCAGTTCATGAACTCACAAAGAGGTTTATCCTTTCAGGTCCAGAAGGCACAAAATGGAAAATAGAAAGACAGTGGAGAAAAAGAAGCTGTTACAGAGGAGGGAAACAGAAAGATGAAGAAATGAAGTGCAGGAGAGAAAATCTTTGTTCTAAAGAGTAAACCGAGGTAATTTGAGTTTAGGAAAGAAGGGATATTTGATTTCAAAGGAGTCCCAGATGGGTAGGATTCAAAAAGGATAGGAACTTTGGGATTCAGTGGTTAGAATGTTTATGTATCTTCACAGAACAGGATTAAGTCCAAATTAGAAAATTCCACTCTTTATGTCTCTCCCCTTAACTTTGAAGCTACTGTCAGCAGCCGTTTAGCCTAGCTTAGCTTAGCTTAGTTTAGTTTAGCGTTAAGACTAGAAATGTGGGGAAACAGCAAGTCTGACTGTCAAAAAGTAAAAAAGATCGCCTACCGGCACATCTGGAGGTCTGATGTCTGTTTTGTTTTAACCCATACAGAAGCCAACATTTTAACAGAAACAGAAATTCCTCGTAAGTGACTTTCTTTCCCTCTAAGAACTATAGTTCAAATTCAATATTCAAATTCAAAGTTTTTTCAAAATAAAACCTGGAGTATTAGATAACAGGACCTTCCCTCACTCTCACTCAAACAAATCTTCAACAACAAAAGTTGTTCCAAACATTTTTGAGGTTGTTCCTCCACAGCTTATTTATTTGGACTTGCAGGAGGTTACAAATGGCAAACTTTATGTCTTCTTCACTCGCGCTGAAGAAGTCCCTCATGTGCGAAATCGTGCGGCACGTTTGACCAGCAAAAAGAAAATCAGAAGACGGATCAGCACGTCACTGATCATGAACGATCGATCGTATTGTGTATTCTCTACTTTTTGTTTATTAAATTTTTTTTCTTTTACTCAGTGCCAAACGAAACAAGACAATTTGTGGTTGCCAGACAGTAACTCACTTTTTTCCCCTTTTGCATCTCATTTGTTGAATTCATGGACATAAAACTGGACAGAGAAGCTGCTTCCAAAAATATGATTGTGTTTATGCTGTGAACATATGCAACTGGGAATAAATGTGGCATAAAAAATGCTTCAAAAGCCTTTGTCAATTTAGAAAAAATACATTTACTTCCAATAAAAAAAAAGAAAAGAAGACTTAAAATCATAAATTATGCTTTTATAATACTTTCTGTTGATGTCTTCCTGTGTTGCCCTTTAGAATTTGGAGAGATACGAACAGAGCAAGGACGAATTCCACCAAGCTGCCTCCAAGACAGAAGCAAGCGTGAGGTGAGAGACACACGCATACTCACATTCACAAACTAATTTGCAGTTCAAAAAGTAAGCGGATATTATTCCCTGGAGCCTCTGACACACACACACACACACACACACACACACACACACACACACACACACACACACACACGTACATGAGCATACCCACAGCAGACTAATAAGCAGTGATAGATGGTGATCTGCTCATTTTTTCTAATTTTTAAGCAGTAACATGCATACATTCTCTGGCGCACACCTGACTAATGTGATAAGTGTTTTAATTGGCTGCTTTAATTAAGCCAAATTTAACAATACCCTATTTCCCCGTCCTCGCTTCTCACCGTGGACTTGTAATGAGCCGCAGTCGGGGGAAAGGCAGCTAATTATCGCCGCTGCAGTCTGTAAAACACCCGGGCCTTGACTCGCTGTTAAAATTTGTCACACCACAGTACATGGACTTTTCCCAATAACAAGAGTCACGCGAGTATTTATGGTTGAGGACAAAATAACATTACGATTTGTTTATGTCTTTCAGTGTTTCCTCAACCCTGACGGCAAGTTTTAGCTTGCCGCCATGCTTCTTGTTATTGAAGTTCATCTGTATTTTTATATTTCAATTTGAAATGATTCATTAACTCTTTTTTTTTTTTTTTTTTTTTTTTTTTTAACACTACAATTTGGATTTTGTTCACAGTGTTTTTTTGCATCAATCCTAGTGGTAATAACAACATTTTATTCAAGTGAAAATGTGCAACATAGTTAAAAAAGAAGAAGAAACAAGCAGTCAGAAGATCATACGTGTTCTAAACAAACTTGAGCCGAACTTATGTGGAAGCGAAAAACCAGGGTGAACAGTAAAATGATTCCAGAAACAGTCCGTCGTAAAGGTCCATGGCAGTCTGCTGACCGACTTCTCTGTTTAGCTTTGTATCTTGGTCTCATCCACTCCCCAAAGCTTTTAGGTGAGGGTTCTGGTACAATGTCCGCGTTGCTGCTTACGCTGAGCCGATCGGCCTCTCCCTTTTGCTTCCAATTTATCCTCATCTCTGAAGAAAACCACAAGATACTTGAACTCCTTCATTTTCCTCACCAAATGGTTCAGATAATCTGCCTAAACTGTTGGCTCGTGTGCAACCCGTCTTATCATCTGACAGTTTGTGTTTCTTGGCTCGTCGGACTTCTTTGTAGCGATTTCACCATGTTCCCAGATCGCTGCAAATTCTTTGGAGAGTACAGTTGTTGTTTTTTCACTATAGCCAACTGAAATGAGGGCCAAAACAAACAAAAAAACAAGTAAGAAGAAATATTCTTAAAAAAATGTACATTGTCATGAGAAGTTGAGTCAATGAGTGACAAGAAGACTTGATGCCACATGTAGAGGACTTGGAGTGTACTGGGCTGCTTAAAGTAGCTGACAGCAAGCTGGAGGTTTATTGGAAGCAACTATGAGGAAGAGTCTGAAACACAGTGTTGGTATAGAAGAAGCTCGGTCAGTCAATTCTACCTGGAATCAATCGTTTCACCTATCCTCTGCAGAATAGAGGATCGCACTGAAGCCCTGAACTCGTTTTTTAGCCTGCCGATAACAAGAAGATGATTTGGGCCCGGCCCTATCCACACTTACACAGACATACACAACTCTTTGAGTGCCAGCCATGTAGTTAATACACCCAGTCCCTGGTAATCTGGAGTGACTGAACGCCGTTATCAGCAGTTTAGGAATATAAGACCCCCCATTACAGTGCGATTTAAAGCAATGCCTACATGTTTTTGATCCGTGCTGATGCTGAAGACCAGGTGATCTTACCTCTGGGGAATACTGTACAGTAATACCGCTAATCCTCTTCTCGTAGGGAGGTTGCATTTTTATCAGAGAAGATAAAACGATCCGAGCTTCCTGTATGGCAAGATCTTCATTGACAATTATATATACCGCTTTTGCAGGCTTTGGAGCCTGGATTAGGCTCTCATTCATTCAGTAATCTAGTCTAAGCCCCAACCTCCGGGGAATTCAGTAGTGTCACTTAAATGAGTGAAGTGAGGTATAAGGTGTGTGTGTGTGTGTGTGTGTGTGTGACTGTTGTTAAATGATACAAAGAAAATGGGATGCATTTGACGTGGACCTGTATACTTCAGTGGCTACAACATGGTTCTCTTCAATAGAACGGAGTCGTTGTTGATGTTAAGAGTAACAGCTTTGCATTTCCTACCGTGACAAGCCGAAATGTCTGCTGATGAAAAACCATTGAATAAAAGCGCCTGCTATAAGACTTTCTACCAAAAAGGGGATAAGATTCACCTTCTGTCCTCCCGTCGGTGTGCGTTTAAGTGTGTTTGATTTTCTCTCTTTTAAACATGTGATCAGAATCAGAACTAATCAGCTGCCCATTAAAATGAAACCATCATGTGACATAATATATAGTTGGTAGGTTCTGTAACACTACCCAAACCACACTTGTCTTCATTTACACTTCCTGTTAATTGCATTGATAAAATGAGCACCTGGAACACAGTGTCTGTCTCTAACATCCGCTCCTCAGATAGTTGGACGGATTGCATTTCCGTCTCTTTACACCTCAGCTGTGTAAACTCTTATTATTGCCATAGCTCCCGCACTATCCTCTTTATTGGCAGTCGATAGTCTTTAGCCATCTGTCTTTTGTGTGACAAAAGTCCATGTTTATATACAGTACAGGCTTTCTTCCTGGAAATGTAAAGCCAGCCAGATTTTGTTGTAGATCGCCTCATGATTTATACATTTAGTTTGCAGATCACTGCTTAAACAGCGGCCACACTCGATATGAAGATGCCATTTGCTGTTGGAAATAGCACTATATGCTATTTAATTATTTGATGATGTTGGGGAGACGGTCTCTACCCTGCGTTGTATCAACTTGGATAGCAGCACTCCAAAAGCAATCCATCCAGAACACTTAGTCAGTGAATCGGGCCAAATAGGTGAGTTCTAGCAAATGTCTTCATTTCATTTCTTCAGTTTGGTACTGACGTCTAAATGCTTGCCTCAAATCAAGTGAAAACGTATACAAATTGGGTGAGTCTCTGCTGTGTCCTCTGATTAGTCTGAGAGTCATCTTGAATGAATGAAATTCCATAATGCAGAGAGCCTGATATATCGTTGGTAATAGAGAGGAAGAGTCTGGACATTAAAAGACACTTGGAATCATTCGTGTATTTGAAAGCAACAGCCAATGCCATGTTCTGACATTTTCAGCTATAAATAAATTAACAAATGTTAAATAATCTGTGGGAAACTTCAGACGGACTGGTTTTATGTTGCTCTCAGTGCAGAGCTGTAGAAGAAAGCTACTGTAAAATATCATGTGGGTGACTCCATTCCCCCTTCTGTGGCCTGAAGAAGAAAGTGTGTATACGTGCCGACATTTGTGTGTGTGATATGTTAATCCACAGCTTAACCCTTGGTGCCAAAAGGGGGGCTTTGGCTGCAAGCACTCCGGAGGGGACCAGTGTGTCACAGTCCAGTGTGTGTGTTTGTTTAGAGAGAGAGAGACTCAATAACTTTCCTTTCATTCTCTCGCTCTCCCTTGTTTATGGGAGTGAATGACACAATTTGCTTTGCCAAAATTATGCCATACAATCGCATGACCAACAAGTGTGCAGATACAATGAAATACCAATTTAAAGAAACGTCAAATCCTGCAAGAGAAAAGTAATAACGGCATACTTAGCTTTTGATTCCTTTGAGCTCTCTCTTAGAGGGAAAAAAACCAGCTTTGGTCACTGGGTCCTCATTTGGCACTCCAAAGTCAAAACAAGGTTGGAGGAGAAGCGTCAAAGCAGTTTAAAAAGCAACACTAAGGCTTTTAGTGCAATTCAGCTATTTAAGACAACAGGTGTGCCTTGTTCTGCCAGGTCAGTGATTTGATTGGAAATGTGACTTCAGTGACATTGCAATAGTTCAGCTCAGCTACTCAGCATGGCTAGCGGGGCTTCACATGTACACCCTCTAATGGTCTGCAGCCACAAACAAAAAGCTTGTTTTCACACCTGTACTTGGGGTCATTTAGTCCGGACCAAGGGAAAGAATTGTTGCATAGTTCTGGACCACACTGACTTTTACATATGAACCAAATGAACATTAAGTCATACAGACTGACGGGTAACTCTTTAATTGGACAGTGTTGCCCATCGTCACCCTGCGTCATCAGAACCCACATGAGGAAATCAAATTTCAGTGACGGCCTTTTAATGCTTCTGATGTCTATATGTATGTTATTTGATTAATAAGTGATTATAAGCATCATTAGTGTTTAGACCGCATCTTATAATGAATAATGGTAGAAACAGGAATGTACAAAAGCCCCTTTGGGTGCCTCCAGACGACCGGTGCGAACGCGTAGTGTAAACGTTGGCGAGCACATGAATCGTATAGCTGTGGGATCTCTGTCATACACTTTTTAACAGAGTTAATGAACTGACACAGTTGGATACAAGCACAGCAGTTTTATCAGCGTTTATAAAATACCCAAGCTGACTGGCTGACAAACATGGCCTTAGAGGACATGGCCTTCGCCTCCTGAAGATATTTCACCACCAGCGAATGGATTCATTAGTAGTATAGCATTTGAAATCATGCTTAAATCGCATATCTGCTATCATTAATTCCTGTAGTTGGTTTGCGTGCTTTCAGACCACAAATGAACCTCACTAGAGTCCGCTTGGAAGCAAACCTAGACCCTCCTTTTTCAAGCGGTGTTGGTTCGGTTGTTGGTCAGCACCAGGGTTCGGCCCGAACAAACCGTACCAATAGGTCTAATGGACTTGAGTTCACTTTTAACCGAACCAAACGGGTTAGGAGTGCACCATTAGCAGTGGACTCTTGCAGCAGGCCGTTCTGGAACTGGCCAATATTTAGACTGCATCGCATACCTGATGACCACTTAGCAAAGAAACTTTAGCATTTGCTAACTTGCCAGGCTTTTGCCTAGCGTAATTACAGATAGAGCGAAAGAGACATGGGGATGGAAACGGGT